GAACCACTAGTAGAATAGCCTAAGTCCATCGGAAACACAGGTATTTACATTATGATTCATAACAGTAGCAAAATTACAGCTATGAAGTAGCAACGAAAATAATTTTATGGTTGGGGATCAACATAACATGAGGAACTGTATTAAAGGGTCAAGGCATTAAAAAGGTTGAGAATCACTGTACTAAGGAAACATGCAGCAAGAGATATCTAAACACAGTCTAGAATTGTCAGAGATTTTCCTGGCAAAGTGCTTTAGACAAGAGGCCTGAAGTAAAAATACCATTACCCTAAAAGAACATGCGAAAATTCAACTGTTAATGAAGAAGCACCTGGAATCAGATTTTAAAAATGGCTAGATTGGAAAAATAATGTAGAAAATTTATTTTGGTTTGTTGTGTAGCTAAACCTACACTTCCTGTAAAATACAAGCATTGCAATTTGTATGAAGGAACTTGTCTAAAGGGCCTGACTTAATCATCATTCCCTTCTTTTAGCACATTCTGATGCTTAGTATGCACTCTGATGTAAGGATATATTTATATAGTCTTAATACCTAACAGTGCTTTGTAAGAAGCAGATATACAATATGTGCCCCAGGTAAATATTTACTAATAAAAGTGTACTACGCTAATTAGTCCAGATGTTCTTCTGGACAAAGCCGAGGCAGCAAGGGCCAAGCCCTTTGCATGAATTTCATGCATCAGGCCTCTAGTAAATATATATGCTAAGAAAGAATAAGAAGTGGCGTTGGCTGCTTTAAATGACATGACAAAGAAATGTACAGTATTTGGGGGATTATACTAATTCATTTCCAATAGCAAAGTTACCTAAAGATGAAGGAAAATTAACTTTCAGAAATACTAGCATATTTTGTGAAACACAAAATCATAAGCTTGGAGAAGCTTCTACAGGACTGACAATGTTAAAAACAATTATAATATTAATACAGTAATTAATTTATTCCAATGCTTTACAGATGAGATCAATTACCTTAAAAAAGAACATGAATCATTAAATCCATCGTGCAAAGTTGCTATTGGTATCAAAATCTAGTGTCCACTAACATTCTTTGGAAGCCATTTGCCTGGTCTTCCAACAATGAGCCTCTCCAAGACCCTAGAAGTTAAACACACTTTTCCCTTCATATAATGTCTTCACCAATAATAGCAATTATACATGGGTGTAATTAGATAATTTTATGAAGTTTACACCATACTTAATCTTAACACCAGTGATTAAGGGAAATGCAGGGAGAAAGGTGATTCTGATACTTTAAAAAAATACAGATAGTTTGGAGAGATTCAAAGTTATTTCAACAGAGAATAAGAATATATGAATATCTTAAGCTAGGCAGAATAATCACCATTGCGTCCCCTCCAGCCTTTCCAAATGTGACAATAGATTCTCCAAAGTAAAGTCTTAAGCCTTCTGAAATATTATGTTGGATACTTGCATACTAATCCACGGGAGCTCTTATGATCCTGTCTAAGAAATCTGGAATATGCTAATTGACCATCACAACATTGCAAAAATAATGGCACCCACAGCCAATGAAGAAATATGCTAATTGACTGCCCACCCTCAAAGATCGCAGCGCCCAGTCCCCTCGGCTGTTCCCCACACCTGCCTCTGAAGACCCCCCTGTCAACCCGCCCCCTCGGCCAGCCTAAGGCATGATGGACCATCACCTTCCCCTGATCACCAGTCGCCTCTCATCCCTGAGTGCTCCCAGACTGTGAGAGGGGGCAAGTTGGGCTGAGAGATGCCCTTCCAGTGCATGAATTTTCATGTACTGGGCCTCTAGTGTAATAATAAAAAAACAAATATATATGCATATGAGCATAACCAATGGACAGACAGTGGGGTGTGGGTGGGTGAGTGGTGAAGGCATGTGCTGTGGAATGGAATGGACCAGGGAGAGGTCAATGGGGGGAAAAAAGGAGACTTATGTAATACTTTAAACAATAAAGAATTGAAATTATTAAACAAACAAACCACACTCCCCTTCATGAAGAAAGCAAACAATGCTGAATCCTTAGATAGACCCTTAGTCTCTAATTTTATAATACAACCATGATTTTAATAAGACTAGTATAATTTTAAATCACTTAAATTTAAAGCTGGAAAAGATCATGGTAGAGTACCTACTGTGTTTCCCCGAAAATAAGACATCCTCCGAAAATAAGACCTACTTACAGGTTTCCTTCTGAGTGAAATATAAGCCCTCCCACCCCCCCAGGCTAAACATGAGAGATTTGGTCCACTGATTCTGAAAGAAATGGAGTCACAAGAAATTCACCAGGAAATTCAGGAATTGGATTGTTATGATGATGTTCCAGAAGATGATGACATGATTGTCATTGAATAAATGGGTAAATTCTTGATACTGTAGGATTCACAGTTTGTCTGGTTTGTGTTGACAACTACTGTACTACCGTACCGTATACAGGTAATAAATTTCCTTTATTTTTATTTAACAATAAATGTGTACCGTATTCTTCCTCATGGAAAAATAAGATATCCCCTGAAAATAAGACCTAGCACATCTTTGGGAGCAAAAATTAATATAAGACACTGTCTTATTTTCGGGGAAACAGGGTAGTACAATCCTTATGTGATCACAAGCAGACGTCTAGATGTTTAAAAACAATAGAGGGACGTACACTACAATAAAATGGTACTGAGGTTAAAAAAAAAAAAAAGTAAGCACCTTTTTTAGGTATGGTAAGTCATACCCAAAGTTAAATTTGAGCCTCAGAACATGTGTATCAAACAAAAGTAATGAAGGAAAATAGCACCTAATGTCCCTAAAGAGCAATGGGAAAGTATGAAAAATCTATTTGGGCCAACAGGCAACAGCTCTCATTAGTTTCTGAGAAGGTCACAGAACATGATCTAAAATGGTTGCAATGCAAATAAAACATTTAAAGAAATAGGAACTTCTTTTGGAGACACTATTTCCTCCTGCACTATCAATCTTTATTTAAAATATATTAAAAAATGTCATTAAAACTTGTCTTATTTACCTATAAGCATGCTAAATAGATATCAAGATTTAAGTCAGACTAGCTGAGTAAATCCAGGTCCCTATCCCACCATAAAGATGATATGAGAGCCTGGCCCATGCGGCTCAATGGTTAAGCACAAACCCATGAACTAGGAAGTTACAGTTCAATTTCCAGCCAGGGAACATGCCTGGGCTGCACGCTTGATCCCCAGTGTGGGGTGTGGAGGCAGATAGCTATCAATAATTATCTCTCATCACTGCTGTTTCTATCTCTCTCTTCCTCTCTGAGATCAATAAAAAATATTTTTTTTAAAAAGAGATGACATGAGAAATCAAGTGAAAGACAACATCTTAAAGATCCACAGTCAAAGAAAGAGGCATCAATATAATAAAAGCCTAAGCAACCATTATGGCAGAATGACCAGAACGATTGGTCACTATGACATGCACTGACCACTAGGAGGCAGATGCTCAACGCAAGAGCTACCCTTAGTAATTAGTGCACTCCACAGGGTGAGTGCTGCTCAGCCAGAAGCTGGGCTCATGGCTGGCGAGTGCTGTGAGTCGAGTGTAAGGAGCAGTGAGCAGGCAGGTGGTAAGGAGTGAGGTGTCCCGGACTGTGAGATGACACAGGCCGAGCTGAAGGGATTCCCCCCACCAGTGCATGAATTTCGTGCACCAGGCCTCTAGTATTTTAACAGAAGAAAATACCACCAAAAGTAGTATACTCCCTCTTATAAAGTACAGACTCTATTATGTTTTTCAGAGATTAAAACAAATAATATAAAGTAGGCACTAAAGGCAGAACATTTAAAAATTAAAGTAAATGCAAGGATTCCAAGAGACTACCTTAGCCCATGTTTCTTAAACTATGACTATTTTTACAAAAAATAATACAAAGGGAAAGTTAAATGCCAGGTAGGGCAAAAGTGGGCTTACAACTGTTCATATGGAAAATATTATAATAAGAATAAACTTTCACATACTCACAACTATAAACCTACTTTTGCTAACCACATCTTCATTTTCTTATCTTATTTTAAGATGTCAACCTCTTGTAATTCAAAAGATAAAGGCTTGTGATTTTTAAAATGTGTTTTTTTCCTTTTCTCTTTTAAGTTTGTGTACTTTTCATGTTACAATATTTATTGTTAGTTACTGTTCTATATTTTTAAACAATTCACATGTTCAAATTTTATTCACTTCAGACATGGTTCCAGAGTAACTGAATTCATACAGGTTTTTCATAATATTTATTATAAAAAGTCTGAATAGTCTGGTATCCTATATCCCCCAAAATATAACCTTATAAACAACCTGCTTTGCCACATAAAATCCATAATCTCTATCTATCTATCTATCTATCTATCTATCTATCTATCTATCTATCATAATAAAAGGGTAATATGCTAGTTAGACTAGACATCTTTTGGACGTCCTTCCTGACAAACCTGGGGCTAGAAGAAAGCCAGCCTGGGACCTGGGTGCCTGTTGGCAGCTGGAGGAGGAAAGCCCAGACCCCAGAGGGAAGCCTGTGCCAGCAGTAGGGGGAAGGAAGGCCTACTCTTGCACAAATTTACATGCAACGTGCCTCTAATATATAAAAGCCTAAGTGACTGGCTGACTGGTAGCTATGATGCACACTGACCACCTGGGGACAGAAGCTCAATGCAGGAGCTGCCCAGCTGTGGTGTCTTGACAGTTGCAGTTCTTGCGTGACGTACCCGGAACCAGAGAGGAGGGAGTCCAATTCTGGGGTGCATCACCCGAGAACTGCCCTCTTGAAATCCGGGACCTTTTTGGGGATGTTGGAGAGCTGGTTTTGGCCTGATCCCTGGAGGGACCCCACTGGTGCAAAATCCATGCACCTGGTCTCTAATTAAAGCATAATAAACTAGAATCAACACACCCACTACCCAAATACTTAACTATGATAAAAAATGTCAGGATTAATAAATTTCTCCGAATTTATAATTTCATAAAGTATTTCCTACCTTCACACTGGTTCCTCGGAAGAATCTTCCATCTTGTTTTTATCACATTTTCCAAAATTTGTAGTCCATAATACTGAAAATTGGATAATAGAGATATGTGAATATATTACTGTAAGACAAGCAACTTTCAGGATTCACAAATGGACAGACATTCACACATTTACATCTAAAGTTTCAAAAACATTATGCTACCAAGTTTAATTATAAATATTAAACAAGGATCTATTCACCCATATACTGAGTTTTCATGCATTTTCCTCATTTTATTGTTTACTACTCTATTTAATGCCCTGCTGTTTACACATGCTCACACCAGGAAGAACCAAATAAAAAGACTTTTTTGCAGCCAATTGGGCTTATCTGTAGAAGGAAGTAGCAGCCAGATATGAATTCATAGCATAAATGACTGCTTATAGGCTCAAGTACTTTAACACGACCAGGTTCCTAAGAATTTAGCAGCTTGGATGCTCTCAAGCTTCCTACCATCTTCTAGGAGTTGTAAGCTCTTGGCCAAGCAAGTATTGCCAAAGATACTTTCTGTAGAAAGTCTTTACAAACATCACTGGTGTGTTATTTAAGGAGCAGCAAGACAGCCCATGGGTTTAATTTTAAGTTTTAACCCCACCCTTATATTTGCTATTTCTACTAACTTAAAGATAAACTTTTGTGCACAGTCAAAAACAATACAAGTGCATGTTGCAATCTGTATCTACCTTTCAGGTATTCCTTCCTAAATATAGAAGTTATAACTGAAAATATAAAAAAATGAATAAACAGATACCACTTTCAAGCAATTTTGTCCCTCCTGTTGATTACTCACTCTAAATAGCCAAGAATGTTTACAACAATTTATAATGCTGTAGGAGTTAACACCCAAAATTATTATCATGACCAATTAGTGTGGATAGACAGGAGGAAGAAAAAAGACAAAATTATTGTGGTTGTTTTAACTGGTTAAATTAGGGAAGAATCAGCTATAATACCTGAAAGGTAAACTCACTCATATAGACATATAACCTCAGATTGCAAGTTTTGGCTGAGAATAAGAGTTCATCTTTAAAATGGTTAGTCATCACACAATAAAATAGGAGCATTAGTATTTCAACCAAAGGGATCATATGAATGCTCATTTTATCCAAAGCACAATATAGACTGTCCCAAACTACATTGTGCTCACATAGTAAATGTTTTTGCTGTTTCTTTCATTTTAACATTTCACACTTTTCAGGAAAATTTTCAAATGAAATCCTACATTTGCAAAACATTTCTTAAAAAGACTTCCGATAAAAACAAGGCCTAAGGAAAATTCTGAAAATATAAATTTGATGCAGGAATTTCATAATCAGCAGTAAATAGTGAAGCTTTCTATCATGTTCATTTACACCTCTCTAAAAGTTCTCAGAAATTTTTAAATAAAGCAAAAAAGGGAAAGTTTCTGGTTGAAATTCTAAATAAACCTTAAAAAAACTGCTCTAAAAACTTTAATTTTATAGGCATAAAATCAGACTATCAAGTTGTCGAAACTATGTTTTGTTTTTTTTTTACTACCTGGACTATTATTCTCTTGCTAATACTAAACTAATTAAAGAGATCTTTAAAAATTATGAAGCAAACTTATAAATACCAGTAAAAAGCAATAATTTAAATAACCATACCACATTTAGTCAGTTTTTCAGCTCAATTTTTAATTGAAGGATAGTGTCCCCTTCCTTTGTTACATTTATTTACATCTTCCTTTATATTCGATACTTTGTTATTTCAATTATCTGTATACTAACCTCTAGTCCTTTCTCCAACTGTAAAAAGGTAGCATAAGCTTGCAGAAGATACAACTCATATTTGGGTCTTTCTGCCAAGGGGGCTGAAGCAAGAAGCCCAATATAAGCTTTTCACAAGTTAGATAAAAGAAATAGATAGATCACCATCTTAATATCCTAAAACCCATTCTGTCCTAAATATTTAGACTCTACAGTTGAATTCATATTTATTTGAACAATAATATTTTGATTCAAAAATCTTAGTGGCCCATCCGGCATGGCTCAGTGGTTTAGTGTTGACCTGTGAACCAGGAGGCCACAGTTCAATTCCGGGTCAGGGTATATGCTCGGGTTGTGGGCTTGAAACTCAGTGTGGGGCATGCAGGAGGCAGTCAATCAATGATTCTCTCTCATCATTGATGTTTTTCTCTCCCTCTCTGAAAGAAATAAAAATAAATTAAAAAGAACAACAAACACACCAAAAAATCTAAAGTGACAGCCAAATCCGAAGGCCAATGAAAAATGACTATTTTGAAAATATCAACAAGTAATTCAATCATTCTAAAGAATTACATTTCTGCTTTACATCTCAGGATTTGAGAAATCCACTGCTGAGTTATGAAGATGAGGGACAGAAAACAGCAAAGACTAAATGAAAAAAATAAAAAAAAGCATGAAATGATCCCTATGGTAGAAATTTCTATTGAGCCCCCAGAAATACTTATTTTATGCATTGAATTCCCCTTTCCCCTCCCACCGCCCATGAAACAAAAACAATTGATGAACAGAATTCAGTTAAAGGGAATCAAAAGGGTAGACCTTGTGGAGGCCTGCCGTCAAAGCCTAGCTGTGTCAGTTGCACAGGAAGACACCCCTTTTCTTCCTATTACAAGCAATCAACATAATGGAACATTATGATTAATATCAGGTAGTGTTAACATCTTTAAAGAAAAAAAAATGATTGCATAAAAGCCAAATGTCATAGTGCATAACTTTAGCACCAAATCATTTGTAATTTATGTAAATCGAAGAATTCTTTACCTGTTGCTTTCTTTCTGTTCCTCTAATCATCTCATTTTTCACAAGACAAATTTGAGTTTTTAAAAATACTGTTGATAAATCAACTTAAACATTAGTAATGTCTGTCAGTATAAAAAGCAAAATTTACCAGGCAAGCAAACAGGCAAACACTGTTATGTTACTTAAGGTTAGCACTTTGAGGAAGTTCTGAACTGTATTTTTGCCCAAAAATTTACAAGATGTCAAAACTAATTAATATTTTAAAACTGTTAATTAACACAGTCTGATTTCAGAAACAGATGTGAGCATGGCTACTTTCTGTTTTAACACAATGTGTAGCAAGTGGAAATCTTGTGCATATTAAACAGAATGCCATGCACGGTATTTTGTTAAGTTAATGCAATTTAAAGAGAAGTGTGAATCACCAAGCCTAAAACAGTCAAAACACATTTTGATCAACCCGTCTGTCCAAACTTAAAAAGGACCTGGATTATAACATTTTCAATTGCAAATAAAAACTGACTGCTGTCCCATTAAAAGCATTGATACCAGAATAGGGTTTTATGCTGCCCATTCTTCTTGTGGGTGTTGGAGGTGCTAGGAGCCTGTTATTATATTGATTACTTGCCCCCCCTAAATTCCTCTGATATGTTCCATCTCTGAGTAACATTCAGAATTTTTTATGCTACTTAGATCTGTATACATATTTTAAAAAGAAAACAAACCAAAACAAAAAACCCAAATCAAACAAACAAAAAGCCACCTTGCATACTAGTCCCAATTACAAAGCTTCATAATTCTTAGGACTATTTGCAAGAATTAACTCTATGTTTAAAATTCAATTTTGATTAAGTTAACAATATTAAATGATTGGAGATAACAAATGCTCATACTAAAAATGAGATACCTTCCTCAAAGTTTATGACTGGAAGAAAAGAAGAAATAAATGGATTTTAAAACCACTACTTGCTTACTTTCGTGTTCATATTCTGTGAAAATTCCAAAATTGTATCGACTCTTGTCCATGCATCAGGATGCTCCTTTAAATGTGTCAGTACTTCTTGAGCCATTCTTTGCTAAAATATTATACAAGAAGAATTTTTTAAACTCACTTGTTCTTTTGAATCATTTACTAAAGTGGTACTGAACAAGGTACAAATCCTAACAGAACAATGATTCTACCAACTTTCAAAAACACTCAAATAATAAGTCTTTATAGAAATAAAAATGTTTATCACCCAAACTTCAATGAAAAACAGGAATATTTATTCCTTTGAAATAAAATAGCCTTTTTGGGTACTTAAATTCAACCAATGCTAACAAAGATCTTCTCTGACATAAACAAGTTCTCAGTACTTACAATCAACTAAAAGCAACATAGAAAACTTCATCTACTTAGATAAATAATGGTATACTCTGTTTTACAAGTCACCAACCTACATCTTAACAAAATTTATCTATAAAAATGAAGACATATAAAATAGGTCTAAGACTTTAAATCTCAAATGTGTGTGTCATATATATGACATTAAGACCCTTAAGACTATCATGAATTTGGTCTTTTCCTGTCCATATTTTCAGAGCATGTGTATGAATTTCATATAAACTACAGGGCCCTAGACAGTTTGTCTCAGTGGACAGAGCGTCAACCTGCAGCCCAAAGGGTCCTAGGTTCGACCTCTGTAACAGGCCCTTCCCGGGCCCCGGCCCTAGTTGGGGCTTGGGCAGGAGGCAACCAACCGATGTGCTTCTCACATGATATTTCTGTCTTTCCCTCTCTTCCACTCTCCCTAAAAATCAATGAAAAAATAGCATTGGATGAGGATTAAATAAATAAATAAGTCACTAAATTTTATATCATGTATTTTACAGAAATCTTCCTGTAATTTGCTCTTTCCATTGGACTATTTTTAGCTTCCTCACATTTATTGAAATACAACTGAAACGAACAGTTTTAAAGATCTAGCCAAGTTGATATTATTTATCTAGTTTTTTAAGACTGTTAATTCTATTTTTAATAACATGTGTTTTCCTTGAAAAGCAATAGCTTAATCTTTTTTATCTTTAAAGGCTGTTTTGCAGCTCAACTGGATTCTCCCTAATGATATTTCACCTATTTCTATCACATATTGTAGGCAAAAATCTAGTTGATGGTTTTTAAGTTTGTCTGATTACCTTCCTGTTAAGACTAATTTAATTGATCAAGGGTTTAAATCTATACTATAAAACAAGAAAAATAAAAAAAGGGGGATAGGGGAGAAGCATTCTTACTTCAATCTTCTCTGACAGAGACATCTCATAATCTTTGACTTGGCTTTTATTCCTACTTATAGAAATAACCCTTACTCTTACTTTAGCTTTGATGTTGAGAATTATTTTCCTCAGGTAACAGTTACATCACATTTATCATTTTGCCATTAGCAACTAGCAACATATTCTCTTTGTTTTTAAAACATTTGAGTTAAACTAAAGCTAGGTGGTGGTTCTACCACCACCACCAGAAGCCTCATGCAACTTAAAAATCAGCTGCCTGGATTTCACCTGAGGATCTGGGGCTAAGGCTCGAGTGTAAGCTGGAAAATACAATATATATACACTAGAGGCCCGGTGGGGTCCCTTGGCCTGGCCTGTACCATCTTACAATCTGGGACCCCTCAGGGGATGTCGGAGCGGGTGTTGGCCGATCCCTGCAGGCCAGGCTGCTGGGCCAAGGGACCTCCCAGTGTCTTTGGTATGCATATAAGATCTTTGGTTAACCTCCCTCCTCTCTCCTCTCTGAGATTCATCAGTTACTTCCATGTTTCCATGCCTGTGGTTTCCGCTTCTGTGTAGAGCGTCTGCCCCTGGTGGTATGTGTGATAGCTATCAGCCAGTTGCTTAGGCATATATATACTAGAGGCCCGATGTACAGAAGATTTGTGCAAGAATGGACCTTCCTTCCCCTGACTGGCAGCACTGCCTTCACTCAGGCCTGGAGCTGCCTTTCCAACTTCCCATGCTGCCCAGAGGCCCAGAGTGGCTGAGGTGGTGCAAAATGCCTGCATTATTGCCCGACTACACAAGTGTCTCTTCCCTGGCATTTCAGTACCTGCACGTGCAAATTAATCTGCCGTTTTTGTTGGGTTACTTTGCATACTCACTCCTGATTGTCTGGTGGGCGTAATGAAGGTATGGTCAATTTGCACCTATTTTATTAGTGTAGATACTAGAGGCCCAATGCATAAAATGCATGCATTGGGCTGACCGCTGATGGAACAGGCTGCCCACTCAGGGCCTCGTAGGTTGCAGGCATATGTACCCCACAGCTTCCGCCACCGCCTCAAGCAGCAACAGCAGCCACAATGGCAGAAAGCTAAGCCTAGGGACCCTTATATAATATTCTTTTACTAACAACACTTCAAAGAAGTTAAAAAAAAAGAAAAAAAGAAAAGAAAATCTTGCATCTCTGTGCTACTAATTGAATGGTGAAAATATTCTAGTTGCTAAGCAATAGATTAAAAGAGTTAAAGACAACACAATAGTGGAAAAAACACCCTACTCTTCCTTATCTTTCCCCCCTGGCTACCTACTTGCCTAAAAATAGAAAAATGCTTATACAGGAAGAGAGTTCTAATGTCTCAATGCTAAATATCCTACTCTAGCCCCCCATTTATATAAAAGTTCTATTTATGGACTTAAAAAGGCACCCTTGGGGAAGGGGTGAAGGTGGTCCTAATACATGGTGACAGATTACATTTGACTTTGGGGGGAAGGCACAAGTTACAGATGTTGTAACACAGAAATCTACACCCGAACCCTTTGTGATCTTATTAACCAATGTCACCCCAATAAAATTTAAAAAGCCACCCTTCTAATAATTTCTTCCCCTCCAAAGTTGTGTAGTCCTTTTTAAAAAGTTAAGACTAACTACAGTTTAGTTGAAAAGTTTATTAGTATAATTTCTAGTTGCCATTTTTAGCACATATTTTGAGATTAGGAAAAATATATACTGTACTTTAAGAACAATGAATTTGGCATCATATACTAAGTCTTTATATTTCCAAAAGTACTCTTTAAACAGAATTCCTGTGAAGTAACAGGTACTATAACAGGTACTTTACAAATATCATTAATTTTCCAATAGCTTGCAAGGTAGGTAATAGTTTATAGGAGACTCCAGTGCAATAACTAGAAAACTTACTAGAATAAAATTAAGACAACACCCATCTTTCTACTATATCCTTTTCTTTTCATTCAAAATAAGACCCTAAAAAAGGTGGTTACAAAAAAAACAAAAAACAAAACCAAAAAACCCCAAAACCAAAACCGAACTAGAAATTAAAAAGACATGAATTATAGAAAAAGAGTTCGTAATTTTTAAGCTCTAAACCCCAGTTTCCTTATCATATATATATAATAAAAGCATAATAAACCAACCAAATAGCAGAATGACCATCCAGGACCATGCTATGACATCCAATGGGCCAGGTCAGCCAAGGCAGGCACAGACCATCACCCCATGATCACCCCATGATCACCCCACAGAGAGAGTCCCAGGCCACCATTCAATGGGCTACAGCAGGTGGGTGGGGCCTCCCTCTGAAAGGGAAGCCTGGGTCTGGAGGGAAGCAGGTACTGGCAGCCAGGGGAAGGAAGGCAGGCCTACACCTGCACAAATTTCGTGCATCAGGCCTCTAGTCTATAACATAACAAATACCAGTTTACTGATCATCTTTATGCAACTGATTTGTCATGAGATCTAAACTTAAAATCCTTACATTTGAGATAGTTTTGCTTTTAAACAGAAAATATTTACTTTTCGAAACCTGTTTATTAAAAATTCAAATTTAAAACAAATCATTAAATCTCAATGCTATGAAACATTACTGAAGGCAGTATTACAACATTTTTCTTGATAAAAATTACTGCTAATTCTCATTTATAAGCCTAGAACACTGGTCTCTTCATTTATTCATATTATTTTTTTTTAAATACGTATTTTATTAATTTTTTACAGAGAGGAAGAGAGAGGGATAGAGTTAGAAATTAGAAACATCGATGAGAGATAATCATCTACCAGATGCCTCTTGCATATCCCCTACTGGGGATGTGCCCGCAACCAAGGTACATGCCCTTGACCGGAATCAAATCCGGGACCTTTCAGTCCACAGACCGACCGCCAAACCGGTTTCGGCTCATATGACTTTTAGATGTATATATCGGGTTAAAAAAGACAAAGATTAAAGAGCAGTAATAACTGAATGTGAAAAAATTAAATGCTCATCTTCCTAATGGCTATAGATTTGTTTCAAATATATTCAAAGCTGAGCCCAACTTTACTTCATGCATTTTTAACCTTACTTTTTATACTTTCTTCCAAAAGCAGCTGCTTTCCACACATGTTAAAATGAAATTAAGCTTAAAGCTCCATGTCGAATGTACAGCATGGGGAAACAACATGATATGTGTGATACAGATGGAGTAACATTTTTAGGAATGCTTTTGGAGAAAAGAACTCTGATCAACTGCCCTTAGGAATAGAAAACTGGACTAACAAGCTTACAACAACCATTGCAAGAGTAATTTTTCCACTCACACAATTTTCAAGGACCTTCCTTTAAAATTCTCAATATTTTCTTATCCAACAAAAAAGCAACTTACTCATTTAAAACTTTGACATTAGCCCTGACTGGTTTGGCTCAATGGATAGAGCATCAGCCTGCAGACTGAAGGGTCCAGGTTCAATTCCGGTCAAGGACATGTACCTTGGTTGCGGGCACATCCCCAGTAGGGGTGTGTGCAGGAGGCAGCTGATAAGATTTTTCTCTTTCTCAGATGTTTCTAACTCTCTATCCCTTCCCCTTCCTCTCTGAAAAAATCAATATATAAAATAAAAATAAAATAAAACTGACATTAGTTCCACAAGGTGAAGTCTCAAGACTGTCCAGTTTCTTGTTAACATTACATTTCAGAAACATTCCTGCCTCATCTCTTTATAAATAGAGTATTAATAACAAACAAAACCCCAACACTTTACAATGATCAAAAACAAATTATGCAGTAAGATAAATCCCTACATTAACAGTACCACATTTACAAATGTTAAAATTCAAATAACAGGCCAGCCAACCTATGAACCAGAAAATTACGGTTCAATTCCTAGTCAGGACACATGCCTGGGTTGTGGGCTATCGATCAATGATTATTTCTCACAATAGATGTTTCTCTCTTCTCCATTACTTTCTGAAAGCAATAAAAAGATATATTTTTAAAAATTCAAATAACATAAAGATATTTGGTATTAAGATTCTTAAAACAAGTTTATAGCACGGCTGGTGTCACTCAGTGCTTGATTGTCAACCCTGCACCAAGAGGTTTGATTCCTGGCCAGGAAACATGTCAGGATTGTGGGGTCCATCCCCAGTAGAGGGTAAACAGGAGGCAACCTAATGATGTTTCTCTCATCAATGTTTCTCTCTCTCCCTCTTCTCAAAAAAAATCAAAACAAGTTTATATCTGTGAAGTAGTTTTGTAATTTAAATATTTTACAGATTAAAAGAATCCTATTGCCGAATCCTATTGGCTCGGTCTGTGGACTGAAGGGTCCCAGATTCGATTCCGGTCAAGGGCATGTACATTGGTTGTGGGCACATCCCCGATAGGGTGTGTGCAAGAGGCAGTTGGTTGATGTTTCTCTCTCTTCGACGTTTCTAGCTCTCTATCTCTCTCCCTTCCGCTCTGTAAAAAAATCAATAAAATATATATTTTTTAAATCATATTAACTACAAATACATGTATAAGGCACATACTATCTATATCTCTACAAAACATTTAATACATTATGCTCTATTTCCCCCCCTTTCTTATTTTTTTAAATCCTCACCAGAGGATACTTTAAAAATCCTTTTTTAGATAGTGGGAGGGGGGTGGGGGAAAGAGAGAAAAAAACATTGATTTGATGCTTCCCAGATGCAGATTGCATGCAGAATGATCCTACAACCAAGGTATGTGCTCTTTTTCTTGACAGCAATCAAACCAGGGACTCTTCAGCAGGATCCACTGAGCCAAGCTGGCCAGATCTCTATTTTTCATTAAATGGAGTAAATGTTTAAGAATAACAGAACACGTATAGAAAATACTATTTCACTGTGTCAAAATATAATGCAGCCCTGGCCAGTTTGGCTCAGTGGATTTAGAGCGCCAGCCTGCGGATTGAAGGATGCCCTGGTTGCCAGGCTTGCCCACAACTGGGGATTGTGAAGGAAGCAGATCAATGATTCTCTCTCATCATTGATGTGTGTCTATCTCCTTCTCCCTTCCTTTCTGAAATCAATAAAAAAATAAAAAATAAAATCCGACTTCTCTTTTCAGATATTTATCATTTCTATTTAATTCTGAATTAATACAAGATATGAAATACTTTTTTAAAGGCAATTATTCAAACCCGTATTCAAAAATCCAACAACTTTGTTACACTATGCTCTCAGGTTTTGAACAGCTACTTTACCTGGGCTCCTTCTCCATGGTATAAGCAATTCACCACATTGTCTAAAAGGTTGATATCCAGTTTTTGGCTGAAATCAAGCAGCTGACGAGCTGCATGGTCTGCTAACATTGTCATAATTGCTGGCATAGATTACTGAAAATAAAGAAAAAAATATTTAAGGTATCTATGAAATTTTGATATCAGTCAAAACTTGCTACTGTTATTTTATTCCAACCATGTTCACACAAATATTTTAATGAGTATTCCAAATATTTAACAAAAGCAAATAAAAGCTGAAATTACTTACTACTCCATAATCATACCAGTTATCAGCATCTATTCAACAATAGATGCAGAAAAATTGTATTGTTCTCTATTAACATTTATATAGTTACCCTAGCCTGTTTTTAAGATGAATCTATTAAGAATTTATGGCCCTAAATATTGACAGTTCAAAGTCTTGATCTCAAATTTTTAAGTACAGATGAACATTTGGACATGTTTATTTTCCCCCTTCATAAGTAGTTCTAGCTCAGTAAAGACTCACCCTCATTTCATGTTACCTTAATTTTTAAATTAAGATATACTAAAAAGACAGGAAGATGCTAAAAATTAAATGTGCTACACAAGTTTTGCTATTGTGTCAGTAATTAGCAGGAACCACTAGCCTAACAAATTTAGTACTCTTAATATCTATAAAGAACTTAAGTTTCTACATACAATTAACCATCTACATTTGCTTCTTTAAACCCTCAATTAATTTGGGACTAAGATTACAAGCATACAAAATCCCTGAATATATATGGTCTAGAAAAAACACACCTTTATAATATATCAAACAAGATTTTCCTTCAAATTTTCAGGTCTTCATTGGCAAGGTAAAAACTGTACAGCTTGCCAACTATTTTCCAAATAAAAACAAATTTCATCACAACAGAAAATGAGCTTCTTCACCTCAAAAAATGTACTGGCTAAAACCTACTGGTTCATATGTGATGTTATCCTTTTAAGAGGATTCCACTCCAAGATGTTGGCACATATCCACATTTTTGTTGCCCAGGAGTATAAAAATCTTTACTTTAAAGTTAATGACACTCAGTACTCCTTAAAATTTTGGGGTCAAGATGCTTTACAATCAGAAGAGATGATAGTTTTTGCCAAATTAAAAGCTCACAGTTTTGTATACAATTATAGAAGATGCTGGACTCTTTGAAAGCCAGGCATGAAATCTCAGGTTAAGAACTCTTAATTTATTGTTTCTAGGCCCCACAAGGTTAGATGGTCATCTCCACTTGTTCCCCACTTTTAAAAACCTTCCAGGATCAGGAAATGGGTGGCTAATTTGATCATATTTGGACAAACTAGCTTGATCAAATATTTTATTTAATGTGTCAGTTAAAACAAATTAGAAATGGATTAAGTTAGACATAATGTAAAAAACTGAGGTATTAAGAAATGAAGGGCCCGACCTGGTTTGGCTCAGTGGATAAAGCATAGGCTCTTGGACTGAATGGTCCCAGGTTCAATTCCAGTCAAGGACATGTGCCTGGGTGGCAGGCTCCTCCCCCAGTGGGGGGGCGTGCAGGAGACAGCAGATCAAAGATTCTCTCTCATCCTTGATGTTTCTATCTACCCTCTCCCTTCTCTGAAATCAATAAAAAGATATATTTTAAAGAGGTCTGAGAATCTGCATTAAGAGTTGAATGACTTTTAGTAACATGAAGTCTGTTGACAGTAAAACTGAAGTTATTAGACATATTTTTTAGTACAGAGTACCTGCCTGGCATACACAACAAAAATCTTTGCTCTAAATACTAACATAAAAAAGGAAATGTGATTCAAATAAAGATGTTTCAATTTCCTCCCTTCAAGAGCCAGACAATTTAAAAGATCAGAACAATCTTAAAAATTGAGGCTGAAAACAATGTCCACAACGCATCAAGATCTGCATATCACGTTTTGGGGTTTTTTTGTTTTGTTTTTGGTTAAACATTGAACGAACTTTCCTATTTAGCCTACCTATCGTAATTGAATAACCAAAACAAAATAAAGTGAATAAAAAGTTTCATTTTCAAGAAATTGTTCTCTGAGCTAAATTCTTTCGGAAAAAATCAGGTTTAGAATAGAAGGGTGTGTTAAATACTGAAGTTTGCCATCTTTAGGACTAGTGGCTATCTTCGATATGACCTGCCTATTCTTGAACTGAACGGAGCACAGCAATGGCGGCTTTCTGGTCAATGCCAAGCACATTTAGTCCCCCACATCAGGTAACTTCCAAAGCATTCTTTCCACTAACTGCAGTGTCCCGTACACTTACGATATACAACAGCCATGGCGAGAAGGGTGAAACCACAAAGGCTTGTTTTCCCTCGGAACATCCAATCCTAAAAACCACTCACTCACTGGATAGCAGACACAACGTGGTGGCTCTACAAGTGACTACCAACTTCAAACTCCAGAGGCAGGCAGCTACCTCCTGCCACTCCCGTCCCAAACCAAGAAAAGCATAACCGCTGGTTCATGATAACTACACAGTAAGCAAGGTAATAACAATAATAATAAGCCCAGTCGCTACAGCAGAGAGGCGGCTCCCTTAGGTGTGTGTGCGGGCCAGCGCTGGCTCCATTCACTAGAAACACTCCGCCCTGGGCCCGCCCTCCCCGCTCCCGAGCCCATGCGCGGCGCTCCCGCCTCGAGCACACGGAGCACGCACTCACCCCGCCCGGCTCGCAGGAGGCACCGCCGGCGCCCGGAGCTCACCGCCCCGTCCTCCTCCAGGCAGCATGGCCTCTGCGTGATCGGGAGGTCCGGGCTGGGCTAGGCTTTCATGCAATGCGTCCTCTACCACCCCAGGTCTCCCACCCACACCCAACTCCGGGGACGTCGGGAGGAAGGAGAATCAGGACATCCTCCACTCCACAAAATATCAGCAGTAAAAAAACAAACAAACAAAAAAAAAACACACCTCATCACAACGAGCTCGAGCCGCCCAAAACACACTATGGCACGAAACCCCATTTGCAGATCCTTTGGGGGGGAGGAGGGGGAAACAAACCCCAAACCAACCCATCTCCCCTCCTTCTAATCTCACTCTGCACGAACACACAAAGATGTGGAGAGAGTTTGCACGCAGGAGGTGCAGGGACTCGGCGGCCCCTCCCTCCTCCCCCCGATCTCCAAGCTCTCCGCCGCGCGGCCACGTGATGCAGGCGGACGTTTCAATGCTGCCGCACTAAATATTTCTGGAAACTTCCACTTCTAATCATTCACAGAGAGGTCCCTCAAGTCACCCCAACTCCTGCCCAAGCCCATTGGGGCTGGGGAAGCCCTTCCACCCCCCTTTCCCCCCCCCCCCCCGCGCTGGGGTAGTGGTGGTGGTGGGGGATCCAGCTTCACTACCACGCGCCTCACTTCCCTCCGCCGTCACCCGCACACGCCAATGACCCAGCAAGCGCTTCCCCTCCCGCGGCCGCCTCCCCGCCTCCATCTCCCAGCGGCAGCAGGAGCGGCTCCATTCAATCGCAGGCTGCGCTGGGCCCGCCGCCGCCGCCGCCGCCGCGCCCCACGCCGGCCTCCTCCCGCCGCCCGCCGCCGCCGCCCGGCCCCGGAGACACACAGCCACTTACCCAGAGACTGAACCAACTGCTGCTTCCTTCCTGGTCGGGGGATTAGGGAGAGAGGGAAGGTGGGGAGAGGGGAGAGGGGAGGAAACCAAGGTGGGTTTCAGTCTTCCCACCTTAAAAAAAAACACAAGGAAATTAAAAAAAAAAAAGAGAAGGGCAAAAAAAAAAAAAGGCTCAACAGTAATATTTACTATCCAGGGACACTTCACCCCGACACACGCACACCCCCCCCCAAAAAAAAAAAGGACGGGAGGGAATGAATCTGGGAAATAAATGCTCCTCCCGCCTGGCCGGGGAGTAAGGGGAGGAGGGGGGAGGGGAACGGGGTCAAGTCCCACAGATTCAGCCCCGGGGGGGACCCTCCGGCTACAGGCGGCGGCGGGAGCGGCGGGAGGAAGGGGTGCAGAGTCCACACAAGGCCGGGGGGACGCTCCGCCGCCAGTTGCAGTCCGACTTCCCCTCCCAAAACACGGCTCCGCGCCCTCTCTCACGCGGCTCCGGCGCTGGCCCCCCCACCCCGGCTCGCCTAAACTTTCCCCCCTTTCTCCTGCTTTCTCGGCGGCTGGCGGCGCCCCCCTCCCCCTCGGGTGGTTGCACGGACTGCAGCAGCAAAGGCTGGAAGAGGCAGCGCCGCCGGGGCTGTCGCTACTGTTGCTCTTGCTGATGCTGTAGCTCCCGCTGGTCCTGCCGCGGCCGCTGCAGCCGCTTCTCCCCCTCCTCCTAGTGCCTCAAACTCGGAACCGGTTGAAACCGGTTCAGACTGGGAGATTCCATCTCGGTTGAGTTTTCAGCCCATGGCGCCGCGGAGCGTTTGGAACCTGGGCCTCCGCCCCCAGCCCGCCCGTCGATTGGCCTGTTCCAGCCACAGCCGCGCCATCAGCCCGCCTCTCATTGGCCGGGCCGCCCGTCCATCCTACCTCAAGTCTCCACACGAGCCCGCCGCTTCTGGCCCCCGCCTCTTTCCAGCAGCGATTTGCCCGCAGAGTGGGGGGAAGGGAAGTGGGGCGGGCCGAAAAGAGAGCGAGAAGGTGGGGGGTGGAGGAGGAGGAGGCGGGACCAGCGTGGAGCCCCGCGGAGGACAGAGCGGAGAGGAGCCGCGAGGGGGACTGGCTCGGTCGCCCGTCCATCAAGCGCAGCCCGCCCTCGACTTCCCGTTCCCCTCCCGCTGCTCCCCCTCCCGGGGCTGAGTCCGCAGGCCCGGCCTTTCCGGGCCGCTCATTGGCTGGCGCCACTAGTGACGCAGAAGGTGGAAAGCAGCTCGTGAGCTGGTGGTGGCGCGAGTTTGAGCGAGGCGCGCGGCGTCCTTCTTTCGGCTTCCCGGGGCCCGCGGCGGCCCGCCCCCGCCAGCTCCCGCCAACCTGCTGGGCCTGCGCCCGCCGGGATGAGGGCCCGCCCCTCGGATGGGGGCCGCGCTCGGAAGGGGGAGTTCGCACCCCGTGTTTTTCTCGGAGCGGGGTGGGGAACAAGCGAAAACCACACGCCTAGCCCAGGCGTAGGCCCCAGACCTCTCATCTATTTGAAAGC